GCCACCGAGGGCTTTCCCCAGGGAGGGGTGGCTGGGGCCACTCACCAAGACGGCCGGGCCAGGCCCGCCCTCGCCGGGGCGGCACTCGACTCGGGAATGTACCTGAGTCGTCCTCGGGCACGTCGCTACGGCCGGAGGATTGCTGCGTGTCGCCTCTGTGCTCGGAGGCCGCCTGCATGGGGAGAGCAAGCGCACGGGTGAGGGAGGGAGGAGGTGGCACTGGGATGACACGGAGAGCACCAGCCATCTCCCCGCGGCACACAGCCCGGGCGCTGCGCCTGCCTCCCGTGCCTTGGGATGCCCGGTGCCGGCCACGCGCGCCTGGCTCACCTGGTGCTGAGGGTCCCGCGCCAAGGGAGAAGAAGCCGCTGCCTCTCCTTCCTCATCCACTGCTGGGGCAAGGTGGGGCGCGCCAGCATCTGCCAGAGGGTTTGGCGGCGATGAAGAAGCCACTTCGTCCTGCTGCGCTGCCTGGGAGACAACAGTGCTGCTGGCCTCTTCTTGCTGCTCTCCAGACATGGGAGAAGCCGTGTCTTCTCCATCCGCGCACGCTGCTGGCACAAGTGGGGCTGTGATGGCCTCTGCCCGAGGCTCTCGAGCCAAGGGCGACTCGAAGTCCTGAGGTCCTGCGGGTGTTCTCGGTGCCATCACCACATCCATGCTGTGTGCCCGGTCCCGCTGTTCTGCCGGCTGCTGGCTGGGTATCTTCAGTGCAGCCAGAGACTTCATCAGGACCTCCCTCACAATGCGGTCGGCAATGTCCTGCAGATCCGCGGTGAAGGCCATGGAGCTGTGCGGGGCAGGTGCCTGGCTCTCTGCCTCTGCGGCTGTGTCCTGCTCGCCAAAGACAGGAGAAGCTGGTGACTTCTTCGCTTCGTCCTGCACTGCGGGAGCAAGGAGTGCGTGGTGCCCCTCTTCCTCAGGAGCAGCGTCCAGAGCAGAACCTGCTGGCTCAGCATCTGTGAGCCCCGCCGGAGCAGGAGAGGCACTCTGCAGCTCGCCAGCCGCCTCTGCTGCCGCCTCTGTGCCCTCGCTGCTGGGCCCTGCGTGGGGACCAGCGTGGGGGTCCTGGAAGAGCTCCAGGACCAAGGGGTTGACCCAGATGGTGTTGGTGGTG